TATATATATGTTTGTATATATATACATATGTGTGTGTGTGTGTGTGTATATATATCTATATGTGTGTGTGCATATGAACGTATATATGTATGTATGTTCGAATTTGTATGTATGACATGCATGTCTGTAAGCATATATGAATTTAAGTATGTATAAATGAATGTATGTATGTATTTATATATATATGTGTGTGTGCATATGTTTGTATCTGTGTAGACTTGTGCATGATTTCACCTTTGTTGATATCATGGGAGTTATGCTTGTCATATAGATGCTTATTATATGGCGAGTCTTGAAATAGACTTATTATTCATAAGGTCTCGTACACGGCACATCATGATATCGTTCACACACCATTGCATCGTAATAATAAACAAAACAACTCTATATATTTTACTTTCAGCCTAAATTATAGAAAGATGAACAATTTGTAAGTCATCAATATGCAAGTACGTATATGCCGCAGATGCATGTCTGGCACACTCAGCTGAATGCAGGTCAACCAACTGAAGATGCGCAGAATCGATCCTAGTTATGTCGAGCTATTTCTCTAGCATAAGCATCTTCACGTACAAATTTTTAACCTACCTGAAACGTGTGTCAGTTTGCGATGCGCGAGCGCATCTATATACACCGGTAGTCGTCAAACTCATAGTCTAGAGAATCATATGGGTCCTTTGATCGAATACTTCCGGAAATTAAGTAGCTATGTGTGATTGCTCTTTACTCGGGATGATGCAATATATGTGATACCTCGAATGTAGGATTGCGATTCCCACCCGCGACTGTTTATCAGCGCCTGCAAGTGTATTTGTCGTAACAAGTCTAATCTAAACGGCACATCTGTTCATGCTTGACAATGCTGATATTTGCTAATATTTAAAACAGATATGTGACTAATTAAAATTAGGTTCCTGTTCACTTTTTTATATCGCGATTATGGTGCTTTTTGATTACTAATCGGTGACGTACAAGCTTTTTTTTCCCCTGAATAATTCCGCAAAATACAATAAAAAATGCCATTGTATTAGTGACAATACCAGACCAAAATTTAGAATCCGCCAGTGAGAAAAGATATACAACTTTACCACTTCTGACATTTTCACCAGTAAAAACCTCATCTATAAATAGATTCCAAGAAATGTAGTCTTTGTAGAATATTATAGAATATTTCATAGCCTCATTTCATAGCATCCTTCAGATTTCAGGAGGCTACATAAATACTCGCACGCGTCAATTGGCACTGTGTCAAATGTCGTACCAGTCCTAATTATTACTAAAAACTGGCCAAAGTCCAAACCTTGACTGAAGACTGTATTTATCCCGTCCTTTATATAAAGACCCGCTTTTAACTTTTTATGTTTGGTACATATAAGCCTACCAAAAGGCCCCTAGAGTAGAGTCTAATATCCCAAATAATTTCAAAACGTACCCAAGAGCCAACGACACACCCTTGACCCCTCGAGTCCTTGGCCTTTGACCCTCCTCTCTACTCTCCTATAGGAAAGTGCAGGACCGGCTAGACCAGACCCAAAGCCTCAAAGGGTTAGGGCCCAGTAGGCCAGTACCTTTCTCAGAGGTCACGACTGGCAGAAATCTCGATATTTATATATTTATAAATCGGCAAAACGAAAGTATGTATTTATCGAATATTTGCTGCGCGCACACACGTTTATCGGTTAGATATATAGCATTAAAGTATAGTATCAGCAGACCACGACACGTGCAATATGCAAGTGGCTATGTTTCTTGCATGATGTTTCGTATATCTATAGATACTTTTGTTTGATCGATAGTGAGTCACAAAAAGCCACCGGGTACCGGAATGCTAAGGAAGCAGCCTAACGTCTTCTTTTTTTTACAAGGCCTTCGTGTACTACGAACGAGTGCTGGATAATTTCTCGAGGTTTGGTATTAATCTTATTTTCCCTCAAGAGATTGACTGCTGGTATATATATATATATATATAGGTAGAGTGTGGCCATCATGGCCGCAGAACAATTCAACATTTTAAGGATGGCCATGGCGTCTGTTGAGAGCTTAATGTCTGAAGGCTGCGGTTTAAAAGATCGAGACAGCGTAAGGACATTTATGCGAACAATACATATACTGAAACTCATACCTTCCTCTTATCAATCTGTGCTTGAGCGCAATGAGGATCTTGCGCACAGTACTGAGGGGCGTGCGAGGGAACACCTCGTGAAGAGGTAAATGCGGCAGCTGATTGCAGTGCAGTGCTATGCAATCCCCTGTATTCGTACACATCATATTATAATGCTTGAATTGTTATGTATCCGTCGCTATTTATATCAGGATTAGGATGTTATGTACAGATATAACTTGAGGAATGGAGGAAACCGTGCTTAGATCGTCCCCAACAGTCTTGAACCCTTTTTTTATCATTATTTTTATTGGATTACTACGAAACCTGCTGGATATTGCACTAATTAGGGTTAGAGATTAGTGAAAGCTAGTAGCACTTCTGATACAATATAGTCAACCCCTGTCAGAAAGCGCGCAGTACTTCTGCTGGTATTTACGGTTGCGTTTACCTTACTGAAAACATATAAAGGTCTTGAACAACCTAAACGAACCTGTTGCCCTGGTGAACAAGCGGTTGAATACGCTGGGGCTGATACGGACTTGTAAGCTGAGAGGAACCACAAATTTCTCCATGAAAACAAAGCTGTATAGACATCTGTCCAATTTGAGCTTCACGTTGTACAAGCCCATAACGTTCTAAAATTAATATGCCGGGTCTTCGTATATGGCCATGTGAACTGTACAAGTCTTGCGGACTTTTACGTTCGCGTCCATATGTCATTACAATTGTAATCGGACTTCATAATTAAACATCATACAATGAGATACATCGTTGTTAATCATGGTGTTGCTATAGCTAGCGTATGGGCAAGATAAAAAATCGGGAACCTTGTTAAGCTCAAACATAAAAATATTATTGAAACCTTGCGGACCATCCGGTTGGAATATAACATACACAGCGGTCCTTTAGAAGTACTCTCGTATCCCACACAATTTGCGTGCCTCCGTACTTATGTATTTTTGAACTCAAAACAATCGCAGATGTGTAGCAGAGATAATCACAAAGTCCACCAACCCGGCGAGTCGGAAAGCTTTCGTCAATATGAATATACTGAAGGTTCTCCAGGCATGGATATCAGGAGAACATAGCCCAGAGCTATTAGAGTCCTATCTCACGGCAATGAAAGGTTTGACGGAGTTTGTGACAACACGTGCCGTAGGAATGCAACTGGGAAAAATTCTCGTAAGTTTATTCTCGCATCTTTGTTCGCTCTTTCAGTTTTTTCTGGTTTCAAGTATGTGTATTCTATCTATATATATAT